TCTGATGTCAGTACTATAATTCCCTTTATAGGGAGAGAGAAATAGCAATAATCACTGTGGTTCACAATTCGCACAGCAAAGGCAAGACAAATTTCATTAAGCAAAACACATTACCTCTCAGTATCGATTGCCATGTTATAAATGTGACCTGCTAAGTATTCATTAAAGTACTGATTTCCGAAAACATTTGCAGAGTTGGACAAAAGAGGAATAAAGAGAAGTATTGACTGAAGTAGAAGAGTTTGGGGTTTTTTCCCTAAACCAGTAAACCATCGAAGAGCCTAGTCTCACAATACACTTAGGACATGTTAACTGAACTTAAAATATGAGCATCTGCATGTTCAAGCAGTAAAACATGATAAATGCAATCGTATCATAGCAAAGCTAGGGCTTTTCATGGGAGGACTATCTTCAAATTTTATTAAGTTACACATGCTCAGCTATCATCAGACGGTTGCACATTTTGCCGTCCTTGCCCAGCTGTGACATCTGCCAGGGACCCTTCTGATGTACAAAGCCTCCATTGTCAGTCCCAGGCCTGGCACCACATTGAGTTTTGAACCAGGTCCTGTGCAGTGCCAGGGCTGGGACTGACCATCAGCAACCTGTGCAAGAGAGATCGTATTAGAGGTCATGTCAGAGATCATAGAAAACATTACCATGTGACTGCTCAAACCATTTTCTAACTTTTAATGCAGCACGGTAATGCTTACAATCTAAATCAAACGTATGCTAGAAGTGCCATGCAACAGGACTCTAATTCAAATCCTTGTTAAGTCAATGGCAGTCTTTCCTTTTACTTAATGTACTTTGGGTCAGACCCAAACTGACTGTGTAACCCAGGTGGTACGCAGAAGATACCCCCTCTCCAACTGAAGGGATTCAGTGGATGCATTACACTGTGGGGAGTGTGGCTGCATAGCTGCAGGCCAACAGAGCTTTCTCGAGACCAGGGACACACAGTGATATTTAACTATTTACAGGTTTAATGATACAGCATTATATAAAGCAGGGGTGTCCAACCTTTTTGAACATGGGGCTGGATCATGAACTTTTTATCACCCAGTGGGCTGGCAGGAGCAGGTGCTCGCACAGCCTGTCCAGTCTGGCCGCGGCCTGGGGGGGGCAGGGGTCAAGGGGCACCACCTGACCCTGCCGTGTCCTCCCTGCCACCTGGGCGGCCTCGAGGATGCTTCCACACCTGCACGCCTGGTCTCAGCAGCCAGGGGGACATGCGGGGACCCTACAGGGGGGTGCAGGATGTGCAAGGACACCCCGCTGTTCCCTCTCCCCCAGGGCAGCCTGAGCCTGACAGGCAGGGCTCCCTCCCTCCCCAGAGCCCGTGACTCGCCACCCCCAGCGCAATGTCTGCAGGTGCAGGGGGATGCGGGTAGGTGCCAGCTTCCCGCCCCGACAGCCGCAGCAGCGGCAGCAGCATTTCCCGCGGGCCCGGCTGCAGCATCCCTCCGCACCCCCCGCACCCGCTCACTTGCTGCACCGTGACCTGCTCCAGCCGGCGGGGCCGGCGCAGGGCAGGGCCAGCATGCAAATGAGGAAGGGAGGGGCAGGGCTAGGACAGGACACAGTGAAATGAAGGGGGAGGGGAGGAGCCGCACCACGTCGGCAACATCAAGCTGACGTGCTGCATGTAGGAACCTTGTCCCTTCCCCAGCCCTTCAGCAGCCATTAGGTAGCTGTTGAGGGGCTGGGGGAGGGACCAG